GTAGCGGTGTCCGGAAAAGATTTACAAATTACCCGGTATAACTTAGAGATACGGTGTACGGAGGCGTATAGCCTATGGCAGGAAGAAACCGGAAACCGGGAAACCCGGCGTAATGACGAGAAACCCGTCACCCGGTGTATAGCAGGAAGAGACCGGAAACCGGGAAACCCGGCGTAACAACGAGAAACCCGTTGCCCGGCGTGTAGCAGGAAGAGACCGGAAACCGGGAAACCCGGCGTAACAACGAGAAACCCGTTGCCCGGCGTGTAGCAGGAAGAGACCGGAAACCGGGAAACCCGGCGTAACAACGAGAAACCCGTTGCCCGGCGTGTGGCAGGAAGAGACCGGAAACCGGGAAACCCGGCGTAACAACGAGAAACCCGTTGCCCGGCGTGTAGCAGGAAGAGACCGGAAACCGGGAAACCCGGCGTAACAACGAGAAACCCGTTGCCCGGCGTGTAGCAGGAAGAGACCGGAAACCGGGAAACCCGGCGTAACAACGAGAAACCCGTTGCCCGGCGTGTAGCAGGAAGAGACCGGAAACCGGGAAACCCGGCGTAACAACGAGAAACCCGTTGCCCGGCGTGTAGCAGGAAGAGACCGGAAACCGGGAACCCGGCGTAACAACGAGAAACCCGTTGCCCGGCGTGTAGCAGGAAGAGACCGGAAACCGGGAAACCCGGCGTAATGACGAGAAACCCGTCACCCGGTGTATAGCAGGAAGAGACCGGAAACCGGGAAACCCGGCGTAACAACGAGAAACCCGTTGCCCGGCGTGTAGCAGGAAGAGACCGGAAACCGGGAAACCCGGCGTAACAACGAGAAACCCGTTGCCCGGCGTGTAGCAGGAAGAGACCGGAAACCGGGAAACCCGGCGTAACAACGAGAAACCCGTTGCCCGGCGTGTGGCAGGAAGAGACCGGAAACCGGGAAACCCGGCGTAACAACGAGAAACCCGTTGCCCGGCGTGTAGCAGGAAGAGACCGGAAACCGGGAAACCCGGCGTAACAACGAGAAACCCGTTGCCCGGCGTGTAGCAGGAAGAGACCGGAAACCGGGAAACCCGGCGTAACAACGAGAAACCCGTTGCCCGGCGTGTAGCAGGAAGAGACCGGAAACCGGGAAACCCGGCGTAACAACGAGAAACCCGTTGCCCGGCGTGTAGCAGGAAGAGACCGGAAACCGGGAAACCCGGCGTAACAACGAGAAACCCGTTGCCCGGCGTGTAGCAGGAAGAGACCGGAAACCGGGAAACCCGGCGTAATGACGAGAAACCCGTCACCCGGTGTATAGCAGGAAGAGACCGGAAACCGGGAAACCCGGCGTAACAACGAGAAACCCGTTGCCCGATACTAAAGGTAGGAGGCCAGAAACCGAGAAACCCGGCGTAACAACGAGAAGCCCGTTGCCTGGCTAGGAGGTCCGGAACAGGACTGGTGCCGGCTCATCCGTCGAGCCGGCTTATATACCCTGCCGGCGGTTCCCCCACTCTACCTCGAGGCTGTGGTGGGGGGTAACGCTGGCGTCGTAGTGGGGCGCCTCTGGGGGTTGTAGTGGGGCGCCCCTGGGGTAGGGTGACCCGTGTATCAGTTATGATTTTGTGCTTAGGGGCGCCTTAGGCGCCATAGCCTCAAGTGGCGGGCGGGTGATCGGCCCGCGAGGCGTTAGTAACGGCTACGCCGTTACAATTATAAAGACTCAAATGTCCGACTCGCGTTAAGATACACGGTGTCTCGGCTACGCCCTTAACTGGTCGCGAGACACTACCGTGTCTCTTGATAAATGCAGCTTTTTGTAAATATCCGAAATAAATAAATAATTTTTCTACAAATATTTTAAATTTATCAAAATATTTTTTACTGCACAATTAGACTAATATATTTTGCATTATTCTATCTTTATTAATTTTTTTCATAATAAAATGGATTTTATTGAACAAATAATAAATAGTAAATAGAGAAAATATTAAATATTGAAAAGAATATATTCATATAAACATATATTTGTGAAATCAAAATTTTGTTAAAATTGACTTTCATAGAAATTGTATTTTATAAATTTAATTAAAAAAAGCTGCATTTATCAGATAGAAACATAAAGTAATAAAATAATATATTCCAATCTTCTCAACACACACACACACACACACACACACACACACACACGCACACAACTTCTCATAACAAATGTTATATAAATTATACATATACAGGATGTAACAACGATTATATATCAGGAGTTTTTAGAAGAAAATACGTATTTTATTGAAAAATGTTTTATTACCAAAGTTATAAGGGTTACTTATCATTACATAATAGTATTAGTATTATGTTGAATAGCATTATCAAAGTCACATAAAGATCATTTGGAAATAATGGAAACCCTCATTTTTTATTGCACGCACAGAATAAAAAATTTATTTAGAAAAGCTCTCAAAGTAAGCTACATGGCATGTATGTACATGCAATAAAAAATGAGGGTTTCCATTATTTCCAAATAATTTTTATGTGACTTTGATAATGCTATTCAACATAATACTAATACTACTATGTAATGATAAGTAACCCTTATAACTTTAGTAATAAAACATTTTTCAATAAAATACGTATTTTCTTCTAAAAACTCCTGATATATAATCGTTGTTACATCCTGTATATGTATAATTTATATAACATTTGTTATGAGAAGTTGTGTGCGTGTGTGTGTGTGTGTGTGTGTTGAGAAGATTGGAATATATTATTTTATTACTTTATGTTTCTATCTGATAAATGCAGCTTTTTTAAATTAAATTTATAAAATACAATTTCTATGAAAGTCAATTTTAACAAAATTTCGATTTCACAAATATATGTTTATATGAATATATTCTTTTCGATATTTTATATTTTCTCTATTTACTATTTATTATTTGTTCAATAAAATCCATTTTATTATGAAAAAAATTAATAAAGATAAAATAATGCAAAATATATTAGTCTAATTGTGCAGTAAAAAATATTTTGATAAATTTAAAATATTTGTAGAAAAATTATTTATTTATTTCGGATATTTACAAAAAGCTGCATTTATAATATAAAAACATGAAGTAATAAAATTTTATCTTTTCCAATCTTCTCAACATACATACAAATGCAAATTATACATGATACACATACAACATAATAACATGCATGTAAAGACAGACAAGAATGGGGAAAGAAAAAGAAAATAAAAGTTTAAAATACCCCGGGACAAAAATTTTTGTATGTAATAATATAACATTATATAGAAATATATAAAAGTATACGTATAATCGCAGAATTATATTATGAAATATATATGTTTTATATACAAATTTGACATGATTATATATGCACCCTTATTTTTTATATACAAATTTACATAATTATGTATAAAAATGGACATATTTTAAAAGAATGAATGAGTGAGTGAACGAGTAACTGGCTGTTGCCGTAAAACGATATGATTGATTGCATTGATTACTAATTGATAGAATACTAACAATAAGCATAAGGGATCAAGAAAGAGAGAGAGAGAGAGAGAGAAAGAGAGAGAGCTCTCTTTTTTTACTTTTCAGAAAATAGTGACATTCAATGCAAACGATCAATTATACATATATTTCCTTACGACACATACAACCCGGGAAAAAATTTTTTATATATAATTATATTAAAAAATAATTGTATAATTTTATACATATAATCGCAAAATTATATGTATAATTATACAATTATTTTATATAATTATATATAAAAATTTTTCTCCGGCTGTACGTGTCGTAAAGAAATATACAATTCACCGTTTGCATTGAATGTCTCTATTTTCGGGAAAGTAAAAAAAGCTCGCTCTCTCTCTCTCTCTCTCTCTCAATACTTTATGCTTAGTATTCTATCAATCAGTGATCAATGCAATCAATCAATATATCGTTTGACGGCAACAGCCAGTTGCTTGTTCATTCACTCATTCATTCTTTTAAAATGTTCCCATTTCTAACATAATTATATAAATTTATATAGAAATTATATTCATACATAATCATGTCAAATTATACATGAAACACACACATATATATATATATATATATATATATATATATATATATAAATTTATATAAATATATATAAAAAGCACTTGTATGTAATTATGTATGGATATATTTCATATATCATTTTGCGATTATATGTATAATTTTATACATTTCTATATAATTTTATATTGTTATATATATGTTTCGACACAATAATGTAATAAAATTATATCCATTTTAAGATCACGGTGTATCGTCATGTTTAATAATATTTGCTTCTAAAATTTAGTAAAGTCACGAACGGTAAATTCGAACGTCAAGCAAATATTGTCTGTAAATGTTATCAAGTTAAATTCTATGGATACTGTTCTCCGCGTTCTTATTTGCGCACCTTTTTGTTGTTTTCGCGCCGACTTCGCGTTCGTATTACAAAGGAATCATGTGTCTTCTACATTTCTGTGTACACTCTCTCTTTATCTGTACATGAGATATTATAAATCTCTCAAAACTGTTTGTCAACCCCCTCTTCATACCTGTTTGTCAAAAAATTCACGGCTTGCCGTCTGCGGACAGTCGAGTCGTCTCTCAGCGTTCGTAAAGAATAAATCGATATCCACGACAAGTTCTCCTCTAATTACTTTCCTAATAATCTCAAGATTTCGACGTCGCCAGTGCCGGATCACGCGTGTCTCTCAACATTTTTGGTCCTTCGAGCCGGATTCGCGGATCGCGGGCGTAGTTTCGCGCTCTCCTTTAACCGAAATTCTCGAGATTTACGTAACTCTCGGAAAGTGATTCGTCGCGTTTATCGACTCTCTATCTTTCAGAACTACTCGCATCTTTCTATACCGCGCGTGACAATAGTGTTGAATATCTCTCACCGCGATCAAAAGTGACACATCAATCTCGTTCAAGGTGCAACTGTGATTGTGTGCATTGAATCTCGAACTTCTCATCGTCTATAATCGGCAGGATGACTCTCGAAGCCCTTCTCGATCGCCAGCATGAACTTTTCGGCCTCATCGCTCGCGCTTGCGAGAACCTACAAAAGCTCGGTCCTTCGAAGACCACCCGTGGTGCGGTGCAAAGTCGTCTAACAATTTTAAAGGCAAATTGGGAAAAATTCCAGGCTCAACACGAAAATCTATACAAGCTGAAATCGTCAGAATTAAAGAAACTGGACTACATTGTCGATAAAATCTACGAGCAATGCGAAGAGAAATTTGCCGAAGCGCAAGGCACTATGCTCACTATCCTCGACAGTTTTGCACCACCTCAACAGAATACATCAGCCGAAATTTCTATGAACTCATCGTCCGCATCACATTCTCGACGTTTGCCTCGCATCGATTTACCAAAATTCAACGGCGAATATTCACAGTGGAATCATTTCCGAGATCTCTTTGCTTCTATGATCAACGCGAATACCGATCTCTCTGCAGTCGAAAAGCTTCATTATTTAAAGATGAGCCTATCGGATGAACCGGCTACTCTCTTGAAAGGCGTTGAGATATCAAGTGAAGGATTCAATCGCGCATGGGATACTCTCATTGACCGTTACGACAACAAGCGTATCCTGATAGAGGCTCAGCTCTCCGCTCTGTTTTCGATTCGCAAGGCGAAATCCGAATGTGCATCGGAAGTGAAACGCCTTCTCTGCGAATTGAAGGAAGCAATCGGAGCCCTCGCTACATTGGGCTGCCCGGTTCATCACTGGGACATCATTCTCATCTTTATGACAGTGCGCAAACTAGATGTCGAATCTGTTAAGGAGTGGGAAAAATCACTCGGAGCCACCTCGCAACCACCATCGTTCGCCGACTTCGAGAAATTTCTTCTCGGTCGTATTCTCACTCTCGAAGCCTTCGAACGAACAACGAATTCTCGGAAACAAAACGCAAGTGCACCTCGATCTCCAGCTCACGCTCGGGCATATACCGCTACTGTGACTGATCAAAAGTGTGCGTTGTGTTCATCGGGACATTACATTGCCTCGTGTCCAAAGTATCTCGAAAAGACACCCATGCAGCGAAAGGAAGTAATAATTTCGAAAAATCTCTGCTTTAATTGTCTCGGGCCTCATCAGATAAAATCATGCCGCTCAACAAAACGCTGTCGTCTCTGCCACAAGCAACATCACTCCACGTTACATTATCAAGCCGGTAACGCAGATGCGATCGATGCATCAGCTGCACACTCAGACTCGTCGACGCCTGTCGTCAAGACAATCACATCGTCTCCGCCGGCAATTCATACTGCAGGTATTCCGCCACACGAATCTGTTGCTCCTCTACGGAATACCGAGCAAATCTCAAACTCCGTGACATCAAGTCACGTCGCTCAATCGCGGATAATCCGTCGCACTCCGGTTCTATTAGCCACAGCTCTCGTAAACGTAGTGTCATCAACCGGAGATATCTATCAAGTCGCGCTCTTATCGATCAAGGATCGGAAGTCTCGTTTGTCTCGGAATCGGTCGCCCAATTATTAAAACTCTCGCGTCAAGCGGCGGCTATTCCGATTCTCGGCATCGGAGCTCATCGCTCAAGCATATCAAACGGACTCGTCTGTCTCAAAGTGATATCTCAAGTGCATAAAGACAGTTCTCTCGAAGTCGATGCTCTCGTACTGCCGAAATTAACGTCCTATCTGCCTCCCGCGCGTGTCGAATATACTCAGTGGCCGCACATACAAGGTCTTGAGCTCGCGGATCCAAACTTCGCCACGCCCGAAAAAATCGATCTCATACTAAGTGTAACGGTGCACGCTCAAATACTCAAAGACGGTATTCGTCGAGGAAATATCGGCGAACCCATCGCTCAAGAAACGACTCTCGGATGGGTGCTATCAGGGCCCCTCTCAAATGATAATCAGAAGACCAACGCCATGGAAAACAACTCAGTCATCGGTCTTCAGTGCTCTCTCGACTCTGAGCTCCTGGAGCTCCTTCAACGCTTCTGGACACAAGAAGAAATCGCGCCTGCCTCTCAAATCTCAATGTCTCCAGAAGAATCTCAGTGCGAAGAACATTTCAACATGACTCATTCTCGCGACGTCAACGGACGATTTGTTGTACGCTTGCCTCTCAAGAAGAGTGTTAGTGAATTTGGTGACTCTCGCTCTATCGCACTCAAGGCGTTGTATCGCATGGAAAAACGATTCGAAACGAATCCATCGCTCAAAATCCAGTATATCGACTTTTTACGTGAGTATCGTTCTCTCGATCACATGCGTCCCGTCGCATCAAACCGCGCCCAATCTCGCGAGTTTTTTCTACCGCATCACGGTGTTACGCGTGAAACTAGCACGACAACAAAACTGCGCGTCGTGTTTAACGGATCGCAAAAAACAAATCTCGGCTTGTCGTTAAATGAGTATCTCCTTGTCGGGCCGAAACTACAAACGGATCTCGCGGACATCCTCATCCGTTGGCGACGGCATCGATACGTGTTCGCGGCCGATATCGAGAAAATGTATCGGCAGATTCGCGTGCACGAGGATGATTGGCCGTTACAGAAAATTCTTTGGCGGGACTCTCTCGACGAAAGGCCTCAAGAATATGCATTGTGTACCGTAACGTACGGCCTCGCGTGTGCTCCATATCTCGCGCTACGCTGTTTACGGCAACTCGCTCTCGATTACGATTCGACTCGCCCTCACGCTTCCGAAACTCTTCGTCGCGACACATACGTCGATGATATTCTCTCCGGCGACGAAAGCATCTCTCAGGCGAAAGAAAAAATCTCGCAACTAAGAACCACTCTCACGGCGGGCGGCTTTACGCTCCGAAAATGGATCGCTAACGACTCAAATCTGCTCGACGATATCCCTGCCTGCGATCGCGAAACATCTCCTACGCTCTCGGTCAACGACAGTGCGATACATCATACTCTCGGTGTGCGTTGGGAACGCCAATCAGACAGTTTCGTGTTTTCTCCGCCGTCGCTCACGATCTCGAAAAATCGCGTTACAAAACGCTCAGTGCTATCGCTTATCGCACGCATGTTTGATCCACTCGGATGGATTACGCCTATCACAGTTACCGCAAAGCTGTTCATGCAAGAACTGTGGGCCATACGTCTCGACTGGGACGACGAACTCCCGGAAGATTTAAAGTCACGATGGACAAGCTACGTCGCTCAACTCACATGCATCTCTCGTCTCGCTATCTCGCGTTGGTTTGGAACAAGTGCTTCGAATCTCGCCGTGGAAGTGCACGGTTTCGCGGACGCATCTCAAAGTGCACTCGCCGCGGTCGTTTATCTCCGCGTTCTCAGTGACATCGACGACGCTCAAATAAAACTCATTTGCTCAAAGACTAAAGTTGCCCCTCTCAAACGAATGACTATACCGCGTCTCGAACTCTCAGCTGCAGTGCTGCTCGTGCGTCAAGTTCTCAAAATTCGCGAAGTGCTTGAACTACAAACCGCGCCAACCCATCTCTGGACCGATTCGACGGTCGCTCTTACGTGGATCAAAAGTCATCCATCCCGGTGGAAAGACTTCGTACGGAATCGTGTCTCCTTTATTCAAGAGCTCTCAAATTCTAGATGGCATCACGTCTCCGGGAAGGAGAATCCCGCTGATCTAGCATCACGAGGCGTGACTCCTCAACGTCTTCAACAAAACGAGCTCTGGTGGACCGGTCCTCGTTGGTTACATACGCATTCGACATCTTGGCCGTCTTCAATTCCGATTCTCGAGTCTACGGACAACCTCGAAGAACGGCCTCCGCAGTGTACAACTGCAGTGGAACATCATGAACATAAACTTTCGATGCTCGATCGATACTCATCGCTGACGACCCTCATCAGAACTACCGCCTGGGTCCAGCGTGCTCTTCAACTCTTTCGGAAATCTGTCGCATCACGCTCATCTCACGAGCCTCTCACCGTCGAAGAGTTAGAATCAGCGCTAATGCTGTGGGTTAAACTCACGCAGCAAATTTACTTCTCCTCCGAAATCAAAACCTTGAAGAGCCAACGATCACTCTCAACCTCGAGCTCTCTCTATCGTCTAACGCCATTCCTCGACAACGAAGGACTTTTGCGTTTACGCGGACGTTTATTCCGGTCACAACTAGATCCAGAAGAAAAACATCCTCTGATCTTACCTCGAAAATGTCGATTATCCATTCTTGTGATGGATCATCATCATCGAAAGACTCTCCACGGCGGACCTCAGTTAACGTTATCATCGATTCGTCAAAGGTTTTGGATTATCGGCGGTCGCGTTCCTATCCGAGCATTCATCCACAAGTGCGTGATTTGTGCTCGTCATCATGCTACTACTGGTCAACAAGCTGTAGGACAGCTTCCAGCATCACGAGTTGTTCCGCGCCGACCGTTCTTCAACTCTGGCGTCGATTATGCCGGGCCACTGACTCTCAAAACTTTTCGCGGACGAGGCTGCAGAACGTACAAGGGATATTTCATCATTTTCGTTTGTTTCAGTACGTCTGCGATACATCTGGAAGTCGCGACTGACTATTCTACGGACGGCTTTCTGGCGGCGTTCAGGCGATTTACCGGACGGCGAGGCATATGCTCTACTCTGACTAGTGATTGTGGCACGAATTTGATCGGTGCCGACGCAGAACTCAAACGGATGTTCACGGCATCTTCTCGCGAGTGGGCTCACATCGCTAACATTCTCGCAAATGACGGAGTGAAGTGGAGTTTTAATCCACCCTCCGCCCCCCATTTTGAAGGAAAATGGGAAGCTGGGGTGAAATCCGTCAAATTTCACTTGCGGCGAGTTCTCGGCGACGCTCGCCTCACCTATGAAGAACTGACAACGCTCTTAGTGCAAATCGAGGCGATTCTGAACTCTCGCCCGCTCACTGCACTCTCAGATGATCCGTCGGACTCTACCGCTCTCACGCCTGGGCACTTTCTCGTCGGGTCCACTCTCGCTACCGTGCCGGAACCTTCGCTTCAAGAGGTACCTCAAAACCGGTTGTCACGTTGGCAACTATTGCAATGTATGAAGGAATCATTCTGGCAACGATGGTCGTCAGAATATTTACAGCAGCTACAGACTACCTCGAAACAATATCGACCTCAAGATGCCTTTCGAAAAGGCGCTCTCGTTCTAATCAAGGACGAACGATTTCCTCCAACTAAGTGGCCTCTCGCACGCATTACTGACGTGCACCCTGGAGTCGACGGACTTATTCGAGTCGCCACAGTGAAAACAGCTACCTCAAGTTTTAAGAGACCTATAGTGAAATTGTGTTTGCTGCCGATCGAAACTCAATAGACTAAACCAATACTCTGCGCTAACCGCTCGTATATCTTAATTCGATACTTTGTCTACTACGAGTAGACAAGGCGGGCGGAATGTTTCGACACAATAATGTAATAAAATTATATCCATTTTAAGATCACGGTGTATCGTCATGTTTAGTAATATTTGCTTCTAAAATTTAGTAAAGTCACGAACGGTAAATTCGAACGTCAAGCAAATATTGTCTGTAAATGTTATCAAGTTAAATTCTATGGATACTGTTCTCCGCGTTCTTATTTGCGCACCTTTTTGTTGTTTTCGCGCCGACTTCGCGTTCGTATTACAAAGGAATCATGTGTCCTCTACATTTCTGTGTACACTCTCTCTTTATCTGTACATGAGATATTATAAATCTCTCAAAACTGTTTGTCAACCCCCTCTTCATACCTGTTTGTCAAAAAATTCACGGCTTGCCGTCTGCGGACAGTCGAGTCGTCTCTCAGCGTTCGTAAAGAATAAATCGATATCCACGACAAGTTCTTCTCTAATTACTTTCCTAATAATCTCAAGATTTCGACGTCGCCAGTGCCGGATCACGCGTGTCTCTCAACAATATACAAATTTTTTTTCCGGGAGATTTTACATTGACTCATATTTTCTATTTCTTTCATCATTCTTGTCTGTCTTTACATGCATGTTATTGTGATGTATGTGCATCATATATAATTTGCATTTGTATGTTTGTTGAGAAGATAGGATATTACTTTATGTTTCTATACTATAAATGCAGTTTTTTTTAAATATCTGAAATATCTGAAATAATTTTTTCTGGAAATTAATAAATTATATATCTTCAAATATTTAATAAAATATCAATATGTATCAAATATTTTTCAAAATATTTTTAATTTTATAATTAGGCTGTTTTGCATTATTTTATCTTTATTTATTGTTTTTATAATAAAATTGTTTTTATTGAACACATAATAAATAGTAAGAGAATATATAAAACATCTAAAAGAATATATTCGTATAAACTAAAATATTTGTGAAATCTAAATTTTGTTTAAATTGATTTTCATAAAAATTGTATTTTAAAAATTTAATTTAAAAAAGCTGCATTTATAAAATGATTTATTCTAATCTTCTCAACAAACATACAAATGCAAATTATATATTATGCACATACAACACAATAACATGCATGTAAAGACAGACAAGAATGAGGAAAGAAAAGGAAAATATGAGTAAAAGTAAAATCTCCCGGAGAAAAATTTTTTATATATAACAATATAAAATTATATATAGAAATATATAAAAGTATACATAGAATCGCAAAATTATATATGAAATATGTCCATACATAATTAGATAAAAGTGCTTTTTATATATAATTGTATAAATTTATATATATATATATATATATATATATATATATATATACAGGGTGAGCCATTTGAATCTATCACCCCAAATATTTCCGTTCCCTTGCATTTTACAAGAAAATGTTTCAGATAAAAGTTATATGGTTTTGAGGGGGACATAAGATGGTGTCAATAAGTTGACCTCGAATAGTTGCTTAAAGGTCACATGAAGGTCACCTTCAATATGTTAAATGGAACTGCCTATTTTTTATTGCATATTCTTGTAGCTTATCTCGAGACGTTTCCAAAACACTATAAACAAATGTATTTTCGTTAAGTATTTTTCGAGTTGTGAGGCTTGAAAGCTACAGTGTTCTGTAACGTTCTGTTCGTTAAGTAGTTTCCGAGTTGTGAGTCATCTGAATAGTCAGAACATCTGAAGGTCATCAGATATGTGGCTGTTTTAAAAATTTCAAGATGGCGGACAAAAGTTTTAGTCAACCGATTTTCACCAAATTAAGTTTACGAGGGTTTTTTGGGGTTGCTGATCACGAATCTGAAGTCAGATTTACAAAATTCAAAATGGTGGTTCCAAGATGGCAAATAATTTCAATTGGATGGTGTTCTCTGTTCTCAAAAGAATTTCTTGAGATATTGCGGCACAAGCAGTCCGAATACGTTCCTTCATATTCTCCTTGGTTGTTGGTTTTTCGCTATAGACAATATTTTTCAGCATTCCCCACAAGAAAAAATCGGGAGAAGTTAGATCTGGCGAACGAGGAGGCCACGCGACTGCGCCCAATCTCCCAATCCACCTACCATTGTATTGGTTATTCAAATAATTTCTTACAATATTTGAATAATGTGCTGGCGCACCATCCAATTGAAGCCACATCCGTTCTCTGGTGAATAAATCAACATCTTCCAATAGTACCGGTAAATCGTCTCGAAGAAACTGCAAAAAGTTTTGTCCGTTAACGTTTTCTTCAAAAAAATAAGGACCTATTAAATAGCCATTTACGATGCTACACCAGACCATTAAAGACCAACGATTTTGAAAATTAATTGAACGAAACCAATGGGGATTTTCATCGGACCAGTAGTGACAATTATGTCTATTTAAAGTTCCATTGCTACTGAAAGTTGCCTCATCCGAAAAGAGTACGTACCGGAAAAAGTTTTCATCTTGTTGGATCATTTGCAGAGCCCATTCACAAAAATTTACACGAAGTAAATAATCATTAAAATTCAAACGTTGTGTCAACGTAATGTGATATGCATGAAATTTTCTCGCCTTTAATATTCTCGCAACTGTTCGCTGAGGTATGCCAATTTCTCTTTCGATTTGACGAGTGCTAATATGACGATCGCGATAAATTTTCGCTAAAATGGTTATAACACGATTATCATTAACATCATATTCATGATGTCGTGATCGGCGAACCATAGACCCATCACTTGCTCTCTGCGTAAGGGTTTTAATGGTTACCCTAGTTGGATGCCGTCTATCAGGATAACGTTGAGCATACAGACGTTCAGCTCTCGAAAAATTATTCCTACATTCCCCCAATATTTTAATCATGTCCACGATTTCGTTTGGTGGGTAGGCTGCCATATTAAAGATAGGTAATTATTTGAGTTCTAAAAGTATTGATTTCTCAATAGATACAAATAAGCGGAGATATCGTTGCTATTTAAGCATTCACGTCTGCTTTTTGATTGCAGGATGATATGTAGTCATGGTCATAGCAACCTAGCGGAAGAGCTACATGAACTAGTCGCGCATCGTTAGGGTCGCTGCTCACAAATTCAAGATCAGATTTGCAAAATTTAAAATAGCGGTTCCAAGATGGCGGACAAAAGTTTTAGCCGCAATTAAATTTGGTGCTGGCGCACCATCCAATTAAAATTGTTTGCCATCTTGGAACCACCATTTTGAATTTTGTAAATCTGACTTCAGATTCGTGATCAGCAACCCCAAAAACCCCTCGTAAACTTAATTTGGTGAAAATCGGTTGACTAAAACTTTTGTCCGCCATCTTGAAATTTTTAAAACAGCCACATATCTGATGACCTTCAGATGTTCTGACTATTCAGATGACTCACAACTCGGAAACTACTTAACGAACAGAACGTTACAGAACACTGTAGCTTTCAAGCCTCACAACTCGAAAAATACTTAACGAAAATACATTTGTTTATAGTGTTTTGGAAACGTCTCGAGATAAGCTACAAGAATATGCAATAAAAAATAGGCAGTTCCATTTAACATATTGAAGGTGACCTTCATGTGACCTTTAAGCAACTATTCGAGGTCAACTTATTGACACCATCTTATGTCCCCCTCGAAACCATATAACTTTTATCTGAAACATTTTCTTGTAAAATGCAAGGGAACGGAAATATTTGGGGTGATAGATTCAAATGGCTCACCCTGTATATATATATATATATAATAAATATTTCTTCATATATATTATATACATATATACATCATAATTCACTTTATATACATCATAATTATATATAAAACAAATATTTATATAAATATTTGTTTTATATATAATTTGACATGATTATATATAAATCCCTATAATTTCTATATAATAATTTATATAATTATGTTTAAAAATGAACATATTTTAAAAGAATGAATGAGTGAATGAACAAGCAACTGGCTGTTGCCGTAAAACGATATATTGATTGATTGATTGCATTAATCACTGATTGATAGAATACTAAGCATAAAGTATCGAGAGAAAGAGAGAGAGAGAGAGAGAGAGAGAGAGCGAGCTTTCTTTTTTTACTTTTTCGAAAATAGTGACATTCAATGCAAACGAACAATTATATATTTCTTTATGACACGCACGTGATTTTATTATATTAAAAATAAATTAGTTTACACACACACACACACACACACACACACACACACACATATATATATATATATATATATATATAAATGAATAAATAAGTAAATATGAATATAAATTTAACATATATAAGATAGGCAATAAGAGCCAAATCGCGGATGACAGTGCGTTATTCTAAACGAAACTAAATTTTTTCGTTAGAATTAAATACCTGTGCACAAGGCACCAAATTTTACTTGGACACGGCCAAGATATAAAATTGGAATAATCTCTACAAGAGATTTTTAATTTCATGTATCCCCTATTCCCCTAAAGAAATAAATGTGAGAGAAAAATATAGATCCGAAAGTCGCAGAATCGGGAATCGACCCCGAGACCTTTCGCTTGCCGGGCGACTGCTCTTCCAACTGAGCTATTCAGATCCTTTCGATTCTATACTTTTCTCTGTTATATATATTGATGTTGGTAAATAAACGCCTTTAAGCCAGCGTGTATAAATTAAGAGTTTAACTAGGCTCTGTAATATAAATATAAATTTAACATATATATTATAAGATAGGCAATAAGAGCCAAATCGCGGATGACAGTGCGTTATTCTAAACGAAACTAAATTTTTTCGTTAGAATTAAATACCTGTGCACAAGGCACCAAATTTTACTTGGACACGGCCAAGATATAAAATTGGAATAATCTCTACAAGAGATTTTTAATTCCATGTATCCCCTATTCCCCCTAAAGAAATAAATGTGAGAGAAAAATATAGATCCGAAAGTCGCAGAATCGGGAATCGAACCCGAGACCTTTATATGTTATATGTTAAATTTATATTTATATTACAGAGCCTAGTTAAACTCTTAATTTATACACGCTGGCTTAAAGGCGTTTATTTACCAACATCAATATATATAACAGAGAAAAGTATAGAATCGAAAGGATCTGAATAGCTCAGTTGGAAGAGCAGTCGCCCGGCAAGCGAAAGGTCTCGGGTTCGATTCCCGATTCTGCGACTTTCGGATCTATATTTTTCTCTCACATTTATTTCTTTAGGGGGAATAGGGGATACATGGAATTAAAAATCTCTTGTAGAGATTATTCCAATTTTATATCTTGGCCGTGTCCAAGTAAAATTTGGTGCCTTGTGCACAGGTATTTAATTCTAACGAAAAAATTTAGTTTCGTTTAGAATAACGCACTGTCATCCGCGATTTGGCTCTTATTGCCTATCTTATATATGTTAAATTTATATTTATATTACAGAGCCTAGTTAAACTCTTAATTTATACACGCTGGCTTAAAGGCGTTTATTTACCAACATCAATATATATAACAGAGAAAAGTATAGAATCGAAAGGATCTGAATAGCTCAGTTGGAAGAGCAGTCGCCCGGCAAGCGAAAGGTCTCGGGTTCGATTCCCGATTCTGCGACTTTCGGATCTATATTTTTCTCTCACATTTATTTCTTTAGGGGGAATAGGGGATACATGGAATTAAAAATCTCTTGTAGAGATTATTCCAATTTTATATCTTGGCCGTGTCCAAGTAAAATTTGGTGCCTTGTGCACAGGTATTTAATTCTAACGAAAAAATTTAGTTTTGTTTAGAATAACGCACTGTCATCCGCGATTTGGCTCTTATTGCCTATCTTATATATGTTAAATTTATATTTATATTACAGAGCCTAGTTAAACTCTTAAGTAAATATGTATTTATATATGCAATATATATATATATATATAAATACATATTTATTTATTTATTTATTCATTTCTATAGAGCACGTCCTGAAAAAAACATGCTCGAAATTCTTGCGCTCGCTTGAAAACATTTTTTGTGTCACGTGCCAGTCACGCCGCGAATTTCCCCATACCCCCACCACTACGGCGTATGTGAGCCAAAAGAAGAGACGAAAGAAATCAGTGATCATTTGTTAGCCGTCGACCGTCGCCCGTCGTCCGTCGCCAGCTCATTGCCCATCGCTCGGAAAATAAGATGCCGCCGGGGAGACGTAAGTAAATTATTACATTTTATAAATTATAGGTCTATATATATATATATATATATATATATATATATATATATACAATTCGGTAATATATAAATATATCTTTTCTTGCAGCACAAAGCGAAGGCAGTATTGCTAAGACGACGCCGAGGACGACGCTGACACCGACGCTGACGCCGAGACGACGTCGACGCCGTCGACGCCGAGGACGACGTCGACGCCGAGGATGACGCCGACGCCGAGGACGACGCCGACACCGACACCGACACCGACGTCGAAGACGACGCCGACGTCGACACCGACGGCGATGATGATGCCGCCGCCGACCCTCGCAACAATGATGCCGCCGCCAACCCTCGCAACGATGATGACGACGCCGACGTCGACACCGACGGCGATGATGATGCCGACGGCGATGCCGCCGCCGCCGACCCCCGCAACGATGATGACGTCGCCGACGTCGACACCGACGGCGATGATGATGCCGCCGCCGACCCCGGCAACGATGATGATGATGATGCCGACGTCGACACCGACGGCGATGATGATGCCGCCGCCGACCCTCGCAACGATGATGACGACGCCGACGTCGACACCGACGGCGAAGATGATGCCGACGGCGATGCCGCCGCCGACCCCCGCAACGATGATGACGACGCCGACGTCGACTCCGACGGCGATGCCGCCGCCGACCCCCGCAACGATGATGACGACGCCGACGTCGACTCCGACGGCGATGCCGCCGCCGACCTTCGCAACGATGATGACGACGCCGACGTCGACACCGACGGCGATGCCGCCGTCGACCCCGGCAACGATGATGATGATGCCGCCGCCGACCCCGGCAACGATGATGATGATGATGCCGACGTCGACTCCGGCAACGATGATGATGCCGACGGCGATGCCGCCGCCGACCCCGGCAACGATAATGACGACGCCGACGTCGACTCCGACGGCGATGCCGCCGCCGACCCCGGCAACGATAATGACGACGCCGACGTCGACACCGACGGCGATGATGATGCCGCCGCCGACCCCGGCAACGATGATGATGATGATGCCGACGTCGACACCGACGGCGATGATGATGCCGCCGCCGACCCTCGCAACGATGATGACGACGCCGACGTCGACACCGACGGCGAAGATGATGCCGACGGCGATGCCGCCGCCGACCCCCGCAACGATGATGACGACGCCGACGTCGACTCCGACGGCGATGCCGCCGCCGACCCCCGCAACGATGATGACGACGCCGACGTCGACTCCGACGGCGATGCCGCCGCCGACCTTCGCAACGATGATGACGACGCCGACGTCGACACCGACGGCGAAGATGATGCCGACGGCGATGCCGCCGTCGACCCCGGCAACGATGATGATGATGCCGCCGCCGACCCCGGCAACGATGATGATGATGCCGCCGCCGACCCCGGCAACGATGATGATGATGATGCCGACGTCGACTCCGGCAACGATGATGATGCCGACGGCGATGCCGCCGCCGACCCCGGCAACGATAATGACGACGCCGACGTCGACTCCGACGGCGATGCCGCCGCCGACCCCGGCATCGACGGCGATGCCGACGACGACTCCGGCACCGGGAAAAAATATGAAAAAGGTTAGTTTTATAATATTTTGTTATATTTGTTAGAGAAAGGGAGGGAGACACACGAAATAGAGGTAAAAAGTATGAGACCTTCGTAAAATTTGTATCTTTGCTTATAAGAAAAAGATTGAAGTTGAAACTGTGCATATTTATTAGTCTTGCTATGTATAAATTTTTCAACTTAAAAATCGACAATTATCTTCTAAAAAAAATTACAATTTTTGAAAATAAAATTTACAAAATTTTCCATTTTTATAGAAAATAATTGTAATTTTTTTTAGAAGATAATTGTCGATTTTTAAGTTAAAAAATTTATACAATGCAAGACTAATAAATATGCACAGTTTCAACTTCAATCTTTTTCTTATAGGCAAAGATACAAATTTTACGAAGGTCTCATACTTTTTACTTCTATTTCGTGTATCTCCCTCCCTTTCTCTCTCTCTCTCTCTCTCTCTCTCTCTCTCTCTTTCTGTTTTATATACTGTATACAATTTATCTTTTCCAGTAAGAATAATTTTTATACCAATTTACAGCTATATATGAACAGATAATAAAATTTATTTGAACCAATTCATATAAAATATATGTCAGTAAAATCTACTTCAACGAATTACTTCGACGAATGATACGTAATAATGAGACAGTTTTTTTTATGATAAATGTATATACTTATTAGCTATAAAAATCATGTGAGTTATTATATTGTGCAAATATTATAAAATTGTATGCCATTATATATATTATGTTTGATAATATAAATAATAAAAATTTAATGTATTATTTATATGATCAAACATGATATATATAATGGCATACAATTTTATAATATTTGCACAATACAATAATTCACGCATGATTTTTATAGCTAATAAGTATATTCATTTATTATAAAAAAACTGTAAGTCTCATTATTACATATTATACGTCGAAGTAATTCGTTGAAGTAATGATTTTACATATATTTTATATGAATTAATTCAAATGAATTTTATTATTTGTTCATATATAGCTGTAAATTGGTATAAAAATTATTCTCACTGTAAATGGAAAAGATAAAGTGTATACAGTATATAAAACAGAGAGAGAGAGAGAGAGAGAGAAAGAGAGAGAGAGAGAGAGTATATATAAGTGTATGTAAAATATATACAATTATTTCTTTTTCAGCGCATAAATGAGGCCATACGACGGGCCGTAAATAAAGAGCGGCGAAAATTCAACCGAAGACCCGGACCTGCACAAAAATATATGCCCGGGCCACCGGAGGTTATTATATTCCTGCACCAGGATATATAACCGGCGCAGGAGGATACGCTCCCGCGCCAGGATATGTGCCCGGTGCCGCAGGATACATGCCGGCACCGGGATATGTGCCTGGCGCAGTAGGGTACGCTCCCGCGTCAGGTTATGTGCCTGGTGCTGCAGGGTACGTACCTGCACCGGGATATATGCCCGGGCCTGCAGGATACGTACCTGCACCGGGATATACGCCCGGGATATACTATAAGTAGGGTAAAGGTACCGATCTCATAATTAAAACGTAATTATCAATTACACATCAAACTAATCATCATTTGAAAAACATGCCCTGAATATTTACTTTTGTTAGCAGTATAAAGTTATAAATACAGATATAAATATATATGTAGTACACATATACACACTTATATATAAAATATATATATATATATTATTCTCTAAAAGCATGTTAGTTGAATCTCGTCCCTTCTAAAAAAGGCATATTAGTCGAATATCGATAATATATCCCTTTTTTTAGAAAGGGACGAGATTCAACTAACATGCTTTTAGAGAATAATATATTATATATTTTATATATGTGTGTATATGTGTACTACATATATCATTATATCTGTATTTAAACTTTATACTGCTAACAAAAGTAAATATTCAGGGCATTGTTTTTTAATGATGATTAGTTTGATGTGTAATTGATAATTACGTTTAATTATGAGATGAATCGGTATCTTTACCCTAGTGGAAAAAAGTCATGCAATGTAATTTAACATAAAGCAAAAAACACAATTGTGAATTATATAAATTCTATTTTATATAATATATAATTATAAATATTTATAGTTATTATTTTATTTCCTCTGTTCCTTTCCAATTTGTACTGTCGACCGCTTCTATATTCTTTTAGACGTCCTCTCTCTCGCGCTTCTCTCTCTCTCTCTCTCTCTCCATCCCTCTCTAATCTCTCTCTGTCTCTCTCTTTTTTGTTTTATAGATTGCATAGAATTTATCTTCAGGGTGTCGAGTGTCTTGGAATCCTTAAAATCCTGGAATTGTCCTTGATTTTTTTTTTGTCCTGAAATCCTGGAATAATGTGTATTTTTTTCATTATATCCTGAATTTTCTTACTTATCCTTGAAAATTTAATGTTGTATAAAAATATTTTTACAGGAATTTTCAATGCAGATATCTATACTTTTCTCTTAATCTCAATCGCGATTGTACAGAGGAATTACAAATACAGAAGAAAAGCCTCTTATCAAATGCTAAGAAGAATCTGATTTAATTGATAAGGAGGTTCAAAATTAAAATTTAATCAAATAATTATTTATGTTACATTTAATAATTCTTATGATCTCGAAAATTTACTGTACCTTTCACAAACAACAAAAGTTACCAAGTTTAAGTTAATTTAATTATTTAATTAAATCTTAAATAAAAAGAGAATATATATATATATATATAATTTATGTTTTTTGTTTTCTAATCAACTTTCATATGCTTTTAATTAATAAAAAATTCCTGGAAAAAAATACTTTTTTGTCCCGGAAATCCGGAAATGTCTTTGAATTTCTTAACCTTGTTTCGCTAGACACCCTGATCTTACATTACGTAAAAGTAATTTTTATAACAATTTACAGGTATAATGCGAACAAATAAAATTCGTTAGAATCACAATGTCTATCAAATATATATTTCAGTAAATCATTACTCGAATTACTTCGATGTATGAAAAATAAGATTTAGTTTTTATAAATTATAAATGCATATACTTATTATCTATAAAATCATGTGAAATATTATTGTATTATACAAATATAATTAAAATAAAATTGTATGTCATTATATATTTCATGTGTTTGATAATATAAATAACACAAAATTTTTCTTGTTTTATATATATAGTTTTTTATAGAAAAAAATTGATGTATTATTTATATTATCAAACATAAATATATAATGGCATGCATTGGCTACACTAATTCAGAGGTTATCTTTTTCCTTCCAATGTCGAACAAAAAAGACAACCTCTGAACTAATGTGGCCAGTGTAGCTAAAACAGACCTTATAAAAAACAGAAAGAGAGAGAGCGAGAGAGAAAGAGAGAAACACGTTGCAGCTCCATCTATCACGATATCACGCAACTAATCTACTGCTCTGTTTTATTCCGCAGCCTCGATTTGCACACACACATATGCGTGAAATGTTTTTTTATATATAACTTTTTTATTAGACTTGCAATCTCACTTTAATTGCTTACTAATATTTCTTTCTTCATATAATCCTTACCGCGCATACTATATTTCATGCACAAACAAACTGCAAAACTTTTTTTATTAAATAAGTATTATTACGAACTGACACAAAGCAGCCGATAACAAAATTGTAATTTTTGATTTTTATATGATTTATATATGCAAACATAGCTAGCGCGGTCCGTTTTTATAAGTACTTTAATCGTGGAAAAGGATTTATTGATCAGTATAGTCAATAAAAAGTTATATGAAAAAAATAAATATTCTCGCATTCGGTCGGTAAAACATCATTTAGGATCCCCTTAATTAACATATATTTTTCGTTCGAACGTGTTAATTCATGCTGTTTACTTATTAAATCGTTAATATTTTTTTTTTTCTTTAACTTTCTTTCTTTTTCAGGAGATCCGTCTTCTTCCTTGGATGGTTTGGGATCTTCAGGTGGTAAGTATTTTTCTTTTTTCTTTAGATTGCTGTTTAATTTTTTTCTTTTCTTTCAGGTTGCTGGGTAATTTTCCTTTTTCTTGCAAGTTTGTCTTCATTGATTTTCTCTTTGGACGAATTCGGATCCTGGTAAGTTAAAGTTTTATTTTCTCTTTTTTCAGGCTTCCTGGGCTGGTCTGGATTTTCCTGAGGTAAGATACTCTTGTTTTTTGTGGGTTGTTGATTAATTTCTTTTTGTTTTTCAGATTTTCCTTGGTGGAATGAAATCTTCGTGTGGTGAGTATTTTTCAATCCTTTTTCTCTTTTATCAGGTTGTGGTTTTGGCAAATTGTATTATAGTAGATGATTTTAGTGGTACGTCTATTCTGTAACTTTTTGAATGCTGTGGAATTGATTTTTGAATTGTCTGTTTTTTTCTCGTAGTTTATTCATGGAATTTGTGAATTGTTTGTGATTTCGTTTGTTTTCCCGTGGAAAAATTGGTTTTTGTGGATGTAAGTTTCCAATTTGTGAAAAACTACGTTTTTCTGAATGATTAAACCAATTATGGTTTTAGAAAAAAGTTTCTTTTGATCCCTTCTCGTGAGTATGACATTTCTTGGATTTCGGTTGCTATTTCGGAATCCCAAATTTTTGTTGTGGTTTAATTTGGTTATTTACTTTACTTTTTCGCCCCCTTCTAAACTCGATCTATTTATTAGTCGTTCGATTGGAATCAACGAAATCATATTTATCTCTGAATCTTCCTCCGAATCGGAATTTATTATTGGTTCCATCCTCCTGATTATTTGTTCGTGGAGGCTCGATTCTTCTTTAGTGTCGGAAATTATTTTCTTGATCGCTAGCTTGTGGACGTATTGTTTCTTCTTCGGCGTCGGATGTTATGATCCGCTGTTCCTCTTGATTTCTCAATTTTGGTTCGCGATGCGGTCTGATTTGACGGGAATTATATGTTCCGACTATTGTTCCGTCGAGATGTTCTATCAGATACGCGTTTTTTTCTTATTATATCGCGAATAATGAATGGTCCATCATAAATTAAATGCATTTTTTTGGTAGTTTGGCGGTTTGGCGGTCCGATCTGCGGTGAATTTTGACCCATAAAACGTCTCCGATTTCATATTGTTTTGGCTGATTGGTGTTTTTCCGCTTGAACTCTCGTCGCTGGTTGGCTTGCTTTTCCCAAATGGTTGGCTACCTTGGTTCTCAGCTCCTGATGGTCTTGATTTTTTCCGCTTCCTCTGGAATTAGTCGATTATTTTATTTTAAGCTCAAT